TATTGGTTCCGGTTGATGGCGGTTGGTGCCATCAATCGGGACCAAAGACAAAAAAAACCCTCAACCCCTGAAATGCTGACGCGTGGATGCCTATTGGTCTCGGTTGGTGTCACCAACCGGGACCAAAGGCCCCTCCTGCCTGGCCTCAGCGCACCGGCCACATGAAGACCCATCTGTCCCAGTTTCTGTTTGAACCGGAATTAAAAGGCCAGGGCATTAATAACAACCCTTTAGTCCCGGTTCAAAAACCGGGACAAAAGGCTCTTACCAACCGGAACAGAAGACCCTTTTTCTACTAGTGTAAAAAAAAGACCATATGTTTCGAGAGAGCAAGTGCGAAGCACTAGTTCTGAATGCAGATAATATGGGCATAATCAACATGGGAGGACGATGCCATCTTCGCAACTGCCAGCCAAACTAGTCATTCGACTCATTCAGTGAAGCACCCGGAGCTACTTGCTCAAACATACTATAACATGCGCCATGCAAAATCAACAAGGAAGGGTTCCAAGTGTTCAACTCCATAATTACTCCCTCCATTCCACAATGTAGTGCTTCCTCTATCCACATGCTCCAACTTTGACCGTAAATTTAACTACCAAGACCGATTGCGGCGGGAGCAAAAATTATATCAGTGAATTCGTATTCAAAAGAAGTTTTCAATTATATAATTTTTTCTTCCGCCGCAATTAGTCTCGTTGGTTAAATTTATGGTCAAAGTTGGACCTCAAAAAGCACGGATGCACTATATTTTGGAATGGAGGGAATATGTTTTATAATACTAAGATAAGAGCACGTACAGCGGTACAGGGGAAATTCCAATTAAAGTTCAACACTGCAAGGTTCCAGGCATAAGTAGCAACAGACACTGGCATAAACTCATCAATCCCAGGGGCATCTATATACTCCCTCCATTCCATAATGTAGTGCTTCTTCTATCCTCGTGTTTCAACTTTGACCGTAAATTTAACTAACAAGACCGATTGCGGCGGGAGCAAAAGTTATATCAGTGAATTCGTATTCGAAACAAGTTCTCAATTATACAATTTTTTCTCCCGCCGCAGTCGGTCTCGTTGGTTAAATTTATAGTCAAAATTAGACCTCAGGAAATGCGGGCGTACTATATTTTGGAATTGAGGGAATATATTGATATAACACACTGATGGAAGCTAATATAGATACTAATTCACCACTCAGGACGACTGCTGTGCTTTGCGTTGTGCCTTGCCATTAAGGGCCGCAGTGCGAAGACCCCTTTGTATCAGGCGCATCTGTTCTTCCCAGTCGTCCTCGTCGGCGCCGCCGTCATGACCCCCTTGTGTTTTGCGCCTCTTCTCCTCGTTCCACTCGTCGAACATAGATGGTTCGACCACGATTCCGTGTACTTTGCTCCTCTCTTCCTTGGTAAAGTCAGCATATCGGTATGGCTTGTACCGGGCTTCACCCGGCCGTGACGCGGCATTGAGCTCGTTCACCCGCTTGACACACCCCTTGAACAGCTCGTAGCGCCGTGCCTTCTCCTCGTTCTTGTATCTGCGTTTGTGCACCACCATCCACTCCTCGAACCTCTTCTTCATGGCTCTCTCCTCCGGGTCCTCCTCGGCGGTGGGCTTCTGAGCTGCAGTTGCAAACCAGGCAAAAGGCTTGTGGGCTAAGTAACAATTAAACGAGGCAGGAGATCTAAATTGATAAGGCAGATCCATTTCATACCAACTGGCAGTGGCCCCTCTGGATTCGTTTTGAGGTAGTACCATATGCCTCCAGCAAACACAGGTAAGGAACCCAGGGAGATAACAGTGCCAAGTGACAAGCCTTTGACTTGGCCAGTGGGCAACCTGCAAAGAACAAACGTTTGCGTAACAGTATTATGCGTATGTCATGGGCTTTGCATATAACTGGGCCGCACGGGGCATAATTTCTGTTAACGACTTGGCGATGGCAGTAGGCAGCGAAATGACAAAGTTGACTAGTATAGCCCAGTAACCCTGTACTAGTATGCGCAACTCATTTAGTGCAGAGCCTTTTTGAATTATGTTTATTACTTATGAAACAGTAGGTGGGTGTTTAGTTATTTGTATGATTCAGTATATTTTATGAATACTTTCCCCCCTCCTGGATGCTGCTTCATACAATTACTTCCTTAGCATGTGCACTGCTGTACTTTTGATAGGTTGCACATGAATTAGTTCTGTTTGCTGCTGGTCATTAGTTAATTGCTACTGCTTTAGTTAGGCAGCGGTGCATGATTTTCATGGGCTACACTGACGTCTCCTCCGCTGCACAAGTTACGCTGCCATTTAACCAGCCAATGTTTATTCTTTTGTTATAATTAAATATGCTGATTAAATTGCACGGTTGATTGTTTTTAGTGTGTGCATTCAGAAATTATTTATGAGCATCAGTGTTGAATTAGAATGGAACCAACGAGAAATTTTGGTTTAACACTGCTGTATATTCTCACAATAATTGTGATGATTAATTTAGTACTGCATGGCTACATACTGACCAACGTTGTATGTGGACATGATTATTTTCCGACCTTTTATCTAAGGCTACTACATATCTTGGGATAATCACAATAATTAATTTGTATGACACATGATTATATTCTAACAAAAGTTGATTATGATCATGATTTCTAGAATTAATTTCCCAATAAAGATATTTCATTTTGTTCCTTTTCGTTACTGCCCAACGGTGTTGCGAATAAGGATCTATTAAATTTGACATGTTATTAATCAGACCAACGTAGGATTAATATCATGCATTAAGTTTCCTTATATATGGATATTTTCATAATTCGTATTTTTGATATCCATGTTATTTATGTTTGATTCAGCTTTGAACCCATCAGTTATTTCCGGGCTCCTGAACTCAATTGAGCACCTCAATGGGACTAACTTTCTTACCTGGAAGGAGCAGATTTTGATTAACCTTGGTGTCATGGACCTTGATTATGCACTTAGGGAAAAAGCTCCAGTTCCTTTGTCCTTTGATGATGAAAACCTTGCCTAGAGAACTAAGGTTTATGAGGCTAATAAGGAGAAGTGGGAGCGCTCCAATCGCTTGTCTATCATGATCATGAAAATCACAATTACTCTTGGGATTAGGGGAGCAATCCCTGATTCTGAATGTGCTAAGACTTATCTAGCGTCGGTGGAGGAGCAATTTAAAGGCTCAACAAAAGTCTACGCTAGTACGTTGATCATGAAAATGCTCACCACTAAGTATGATGGTAAAAGCGGCGTGAGAGAACATATCATGACTATGAATAATATGGCCGCAAAATTAAAGGGCATGGACATGGAGATTTCTGAGGGCTTTCTGGTTCACTTCATTATGACTTCTCTCCCTATGGAGTATGGTCCCTTCAAAATTAATTATAATACTCAGAAGGAGAAGTGGACCATGAGTGAGCTCACATCTATGTGCGTTCAAGAAGAAGAGCGGCTTAAGGTTGAAAGGATAGATTATGCTCATCTTACTTCCATAAACTTAGGGAAAAGAAAGTCTCAGGGTGATGGGAAACCTAAGAAGAAGATGAACTTCTCTAATATTGATGCAAGCAAGCTAGGGAACTCTGGCACCAAGGACATCGCTACATAGCCTAAGGGTCCTAAGTGTCATTTCTGCAAGGAAGATGGGCATGTCATGAAAGAATGTGATGGCTTTAAGGCATGGCTTGCTAAGAAGGGTAATGAATCAATTTCCTAAGTTTTGAAATAATTTATTTATTTTCCCCTAAATAAAGATGAGTTGACTCAAGTGCCACTTGCACATTTCGAACTCATTTCAGGGATTCCATTCCGTGAGGACACTAAAAAAGATGGATCAAAGCCTTAGATTTCCAAGTGGCAAGGAGACTGATGAACAAGGATTAGTATTTCTCCTTGAGTATTGGTGATTGTTCATCCTCCGTCGTAATAATACTCTTATGTTCCTAGCATGAGGGACCTTATTTTGTTTCTCTATGATATGATGGATTTGTTATTTTGCGAACAAATATTGTGTTATTAAGAGTTGTCATGATGGTTCTGGTTGTGTTATCTCTTGTGAATCCTTGATGCGTATTATGAGTGCTCATCGAAATGATGACACTATTATCTAAGCCATATTTCGAAGGGGAGAATTAAACACTCTCATTAAGAGACACCTTCATCTACTTGCCTTACCTGATTTAGGCCACACTATTGGTTATATTAAAGGAAATAAGTAAAGAAAACTAATAAATGAGTTCTTTATGGTACTTAGGATTTGGAATTAATACGCCAAAATGTGTTCCATTCCCTATTGGTTATATTACTCTTTTATTACCTTCGTCCCTAATTATTTGCATCAGCCCATGTTCTAGAAGAACAACGTTTTCAATATTGTTACCCAATGTTGTTCACCACTGTCAAACACTCTTAATCTTTATAGAATGTTTGCACCAGTGGGAGCTATATACAAAAGGGCAATGGAAAACTAAAGTTGTTGGGTTCATAGAGGAAATAAGAAGGGAGTTGCATTTACGCTAAGATGAGTGGGAGCTAGTACATCACGTTATGTACTTTATGGTATCGTATAAAATTAGTTTTCCACTACTAAGCCTACTATCTAAGTTGACAACAATGCAATTTTGAATTTTAGATATGTTGTGATACAACCAGGCAAGCCTCGTGGCTTAAAAATTTTACCTGGACTTATACTGGTACACTACATAACTAATATTTTTGTGCGATAAGTAATCCGCGCATTAGTTCACTAGCAGCAACAATTAAGTGAGTATCATGTTGTGAACTATATTGTCCAAGACCAAATACTAAAATTCAGCATATATGTACTAAGTGCATGATAGCTGATCCCCTAACTAAAGGCTTACCACTAATATTGCTAGCATAAGTATAACTCAAGGCCTCTAATTGTCGGGATAATTATATAAATGAGATCTTAAATTTTGATCTGGACAATAAGAAAGTTTGTTTCGCTAAACAAGTGCACATGATGATTAATAAAGAAACAAACTACTAGGACCATAAGTAGGGAGTATGCCTGCATGCACATACAAACTCCCAACCATGAATAATTATCCGTGTCAAGATGGAGTATTGTGCTATAGATAATGGGGTTCTAGTAATAACTATTCGATTACTATGAATACATTACCTTGGTATGGTATTTTGTCGAGATATGCACTAATGATGGTTAACCATTCGATCAAGTGGGAGAATGTTGCGATTATAATGTGATCAAATGGTCAAAATGTTAATTACCACAAGTTAATATGGGCCCATTAATCAATTTCGGGATTAATACCAATTAAATGGCAATTAACAAATCGGGCCCGTGATTGGGGGGCTGAATTAACGCTAATATGGTTAAGGTCTCACGGTCAAAGCCAACGCATTATATAAGGAGCAGACTTGCACATACGCATCAGTCCATCGCATTAGCCATCGTCTACTCTGAAAATCACTCTTTTTCCAATCAGGAGAGCACGGCTCATTGACGTGAAGACTTTCCATTACTCCGGCGAGTTGCCGGAGACGTTGTCGAGTTCTTCGTCCTCTCTAGACCCGAGATGGCATCACCAAACGGAGGTATAATCAATCTATTGCTCCTAATTTCCGCATCAGATCAAATTGTTCATGCATATTAGATACAATCTAATTAACAGTTGAATAATCTCAGTAGTTATTTCTAACAAAAACAACGTTCGGTTATATCATTGTTCTTTAGAACCAATTTTCTTTACCTACTAATAAAGCGACTATCGCTTTTGGTCGTCCGTCATTAAAATTACCCTTCAAGTTATTAAAAATTACCCTTCAATGCCATCCATAAGTGGGAAAACGATTCGTTTTTTATTTCTTAACTCGTCACCGATAGCTCTTGGTTCATCTAAGGAAACGCCCTCACACAACACAAGCCAACAAACCGGCCTACTGGCCTGGGTGTTTCTCCACCATCCAGGAGACCTGGGTTCGAAACCCGGTCATCCTCATTTTTATAGTTTTTTTTCGCGAATTTCAGTTGGCGTAGTATAGAGCTATTTCGCCAAGTGTCACTTAACAGATGGTCTACAAGGTACAATACGGTCAAAAAAATTCTCTTTTAATTCTTTTTTTGCAGATTCAAGTATTTTTTAAATATTTATATCTTTCAAACCCCAACTTCAAATTTAGCATGCTAGATATGAAAATCGCCCAGAAAATTTTGTAGATTCTAAATATAATGTTATCTTCCATGTTAATTATTTTTAAAATTATTTTTATGTTGCACCCTTAATTAGTACTTTCTTTTTTATTAAAGACACGAATGTTTCTTACTCTCTTTTTTTATACGTCCCTTATTACCAGATTTTCATCCATCATTTGTTCGTCCATTTGCACATAAAATAAAAAATAAAATAAAATATGTTCACAATTTTAAAAACTGTTTGCAAATAGTATAAAATGTTCATGAATTCAAAAAATATTTTTAATTTTAGAAAATGTTCAAAAATTTGAAAAAGTGTTCACAAATTTTAAAAATGTTCATGATTTCAAATATGTGCACGAGTTTTAAAAAATGATCATGATTTCATGAAATTGAGAGTGATAGTGTATTTCGATGATACAACAAAATGTGGCCATGGCCATTGAAGATTATGAAAAAAAAATCTCCCATTGCAACGCACGGGCTCTTTTGCTAGTAGAACCAAAATTCAGATTCCAGTTGAGTGCTGACACCATGGCAAAAGATATCAAGTTCAGATTACCACGAATTAAACCCTACAAATATTTAGTACAATACGAACTATAAGCTGGGCAAAGTGAATCAAACTGAATAATATGGACCGACTGTAATTCTGTAAACACCAACAGTCAACATACTAAGCCCAAGAAGTTGTCCTTTCTACTGCCGGTGCCGGCATGGATATGTTTAGCTCGGCTAGAGCAGATATGCAAATCCAAATAAACCTCAAAACAATGGCAATCCTACATGAAATCCATGTACGAGAAGTAATTTTCTACAAGAAGCAGTCGTCACATGTAACATACGATTTGGGGATAGAGCGCCAAACTGAACAGTACTAGTATGGATTGAGCAAAGTATGCTGGCAATAGTTGAGCTACCTGTCAAAGGAGCCAAATCCGCGGACACCAGCAGGGAGGTTCTTCTGCGAAGGAGAGATCAATTAGCCACATTGCTGAGAGGCGGAGATAATTAGGTTGAAATATTGGGAGGAGCAGAGAGATAGAGATACGTACAGAGAGCTGGTGCGTTGCCGGTCCTATGACCTGGCCGCAGATCCGGCGTGAGGACAGCCTTCCCGTCGCGAGAGAGGCGAACAATCGAAGATTCGTCATCCTCCCATTTTTTTCCCGGTCGGCTGCCTAGTCAGGGTTTCAGAGATGAGTTTGCGTCTTCTTCGCTAGCACGGCACGTTTAGGCCGGAAATTGCTATCTCGGGATCCCGGGCTCGATGGAGCCAGGATTTTTTTGAAAAATATATATCATATTTTATAAGTTTACTAAAGTTTCCATCTCTAAAAATAATAAACATGAACCTAGGGATTTACACTGCATCTCTATAATTTTTTATGATTTTTTTTGCGATAGAAAGAGAGTTTTATTCCATATGCATAGGGTTACAATCAAGAGGCACCAAATCCTCGATACAAGGAGGGCTTCTCCCTAGCCATACAACAGTAGTGAACTCCGTACGACTATACAATGCCAACTGATGTGCTACCCTATTTTGCTCACGCTTGATTTTTGATGGAACAAACTCCCGAGTCTCCATATGATGCTTGATCTCTGTCACCAAGTGTCCATAAGCTGACCTGGTTAAGCTCTCCCCGGTCAATGCTGCCAACGCCGAAGCTGAGTCTGACTGCACAACAATTGGCATGGAACAGTGCTGCACGACCAGTGCCATGCCTTGCATGATCGCATGCAGTTCCGCTTCCAACGCGTCGTTGCAATTGAATATACACCTGTATGCTGCAAAGATTACACTCCCATCTTGACGCAGAAGGATCATACCCGCCGCAGCAGACCCGTCCTCCTGCATGAAAGCACCGTCCACCGAGAGGGCAGCGAATTCAGCCGGCGGCCGCGGCCAAGCCAAAGGGGTGCTCGGCCTGGGAACCACGTGTGGAGCCTCCTACACCCTCGGCATCTTCCCCTTAAGAATTTCTTCCATTGAAAATCTGCTGCATAGGTTGAGGGAGTTCATATAACTCTGGAGGTAGTCTGACGTCGCCGACAACGGGGGAGCCTCCTTGCCATGAGTGAGGTCTGAGCGCAAAGACCAAATTTGCCATATCAGCATGATCGTGCAATCCCTCATTTGATCGTCGCAGTTCCCAAGAACATTTAACAGCCAGTCCTGTCCTGTGTCTTGTAAGACGCTAGGAAGACACCATACCAGCCTCATGTGTGTCCAAATTCTGCTCGCATGATCACATGAGACAAGAGCATGGAAGCTCGTCTCCTTTTCTCTCCCACATAACGGACATCTATCTCTAATTGAGATGTGTCTATATTTCTTGCACTCATTTGTAGCAAGGGCATCCGAAATAGCCTTCCAAGCCATAATCTTCATTTTCAACGGAACATGGGAACTCCAAATACGCTGCCAGATATGCCTCCGTCTGGAGGGGTTGCCACTAGAGGAACTCAAGTGTACCGAATGTTGAACTTCCGTTGCGAGATGGTAAGCACTTCGGACAGTAAACTGTCCACTCTTTTCAGGGAACCACGCGATGAAGTTCTGCTCATTCCTAGGAGATGTGCGAATCTTCAGAATCTCCCGCACATCCAAGTCCCAAAAGTGTTCCCTAAGCCGCTGCATATTCCATGCACCATGCTCATCCAAGAAGTCAGCCACCCAATTGTATCGACAATTCCCCTTGGGAGTTACTGGCCGAAAATTATTTCCTCTAGGGATCCAAGCATCAGCATTTCTCCATGTTTTAATGAGAGTACCATTACCTACTCGCCATATAATGCCTTTCTTCACAAGATCAAGTCCGTGAACAATACCTTTCCACACCGCCGAAGAACTAGCTGAGAATACTGTGTCCAATAAATTCCCCCTTGGGTAGTATTTAGCCTTCAACAAGCGAGCACACAAGCTGTCCGGGCTGTCCAGGAGACGCCAAGCCTGCTTGGCCAACAAAGCTTGATTAAAGGCCCTCATATCACGAAATCCCATACCTCCCATAGCCTTCGGAAGCATCATCTTCTCCCAGCTAAGCCATGACATCTTCCTCTTCCAGTTCTCCACCCCCCACAAATACTACCTCATCATCTTTGTAAGATCATGCTACCTCTTGAGCACTGCGTTGGTTTTCCCCGAAGAGGAAGGGATGATGCAGCAAAGTAGCGTAAGTATTTCCCTCGGTTTTTGAGAACCAAGGTATCAATCCAGTAGGAGGCTACACGCAAGTCCCTCGCACCTGCACAAAACAAATAAATCCTCGCAACCAACGCAAATAGGGATTGTCAATCCCTATAGGGCCACTTACGAGAGTGAGATCTGATAGATATGATAAGATAATATTTTTGGTATTTTTATGATAAATATGCAAAGTAAAAATAAAAAGGCAAAGTAAATAGCAAAGGAAATAACTAGGTAGTAGGAGATTAATATGATAAAGATAGACCCGGGGGCCATAGGTTTCACTAGTGGCTTCTCTCAAGAGCATAAGTATTCTACGGTTGGTGAACAAATTACTATTGAGCAATTGACAGAATTGAGCATAGTTATGAGAATATCTAGGTATAATCATGTATATAGGCATCACGTCTGAGACAAGTAGACCGACTCCTGCCTGCATCTACTACTATTACTTCACTCATCGACCGCTATCCAGCATGCATCTAGAGTATTAAGTTAAAAACAGAATAACGCTTTAAGCAAGATGACATGATGTAGAGGGATAGACTCATGCAATATGAAGAAAACCCCATCTTGTTATCCTCGATGGCAACAATACAATACGTGCATTGCTGCCCTTACTGTCACCGGGAAAGGACACTGCAAGATTGAACCCAAAGCTAATCACTTCTCCCATTGCAAGAAAGATCAATCTAGTAGGCCAAACCAAACGGATAATTCAAAGAGACTTGCAAAGATAACCAATCATACATAAAAGAATTCAGAGAAAATTCAAATATTATTCATAGATAGACTTGATCATAAACCCACAATTCATCGATCTCAACAAACACACCGCAAAAAGAAGATTACATCGAATAGATCTCCACAAGAGAGGGGGAGAACATTGCATTGAGATCCAAAAAGAGAGAAGAAGCCATCTAGCTACTAACTATGGACCCGTAGGTCTGAGGTAAACTACTCACACTTCATCGGAGAGGCTATGGTGTTGATGTAGAAGCCCTCCGTGATCGATGCCACCTCCGGTGGAGCTCCGGAATAGGCCCCAAGATGGGATCACGTGGATACAGAAAGTTGCGGCGGTGGAATTAGGGTTTTGGCTCCGTATCTGATCGTTTGGGGGTACGTGGATATATATAGGAGTAAGAAGTATGTCGGTGGAGCAACAAGGGGCCCACGAGGGTGGAGGGCGCGCCTGGGGTAGGCAGGCGCGCCCTCCTACCTCGTGGCCTCCTCCCTTGTGCCTTGACGTAGGGTCCAAGTCTCATGTGTCTTGTTTGTTGAGAAAACCACATTCTCGAAGGTTTCATTCCGTTTGGACTCTGTTTGATATTCCTTTTCTTCGAAACCCTAAAACAGGCAAAAACAGCGGTTCTGGGCTGGGCCTCCGGTTAATAGGTTAGTCCCAAAAATAATATAAAAGTGGATAATAAAGCCCAATAATGTCCAAAACAGTAGATAATATAGCATGGAGCAATCAAAAATTATAGATACGTTGGAGACGTATCAATCACCCCCAAGCTTAATTCCTGCTTGTCCTCGAGTAGGTAAATGATAAAAACAGAATTTTTGATGTGGAGTGCTACTTGGCATAATTTTAATGTAATTCTTCTTAATTGTGGTATGAATATTTAGATACGAAAGATTCAAGACAAAAGTTCATATTGACATAAAAATAATAATACTTCAAGCATACTAACAAAGCAATTATGTCTTCTCAAAATAACATGGCTAAAGAAAGTTATCCCTACAAAATCATATAGTCTGGCTATGCTCTATCTTCACCACACAAAATATTTAAATCATGCACAACCCCGATGACAAGCCAAGCAATTGTTTCATACTTTTGACATTCTCAAAACTTTTTCAATCTTCACGCAATACATTAGCGTGAGCCATGGATATAGCACTATATGTGGAATAGAGTGGTGGTTGTGGAGAAGACAAAAAGGGGAAGATAGTCTCACATCAACTAGGCGTATCAACGGGCTATGAAGATGCCCATCAATATATATCAATGTGAGTGAGTAGGGATTGCCATGCAACGGATGCACTAGAGCTATAAGTATATGAAAGCTCAAAAAGAAACTAAGTGGGTGTGCATCCAACTTGCTTGCTCATGAAGACCTAGGGCAATTTTGAGGAAGCCCATCATTGGAATATACAAGCCAAGTTCTATAATGAAAAACTCCCACTAGTATATGAAAGTGATAACATGAGAGACTCTCTACTATGAAGATCATGGTGCTACTTTAAAGCACAAGTGTGGTAAAAGGATAGTAACATTGTCCCTTCTCTCTTTTTCTCTCATTTTTTTTCTTTTTTTTCTTTTTAACTTTTTTTATTTGGGCATTTTCTCTTTTTTATGGCCTCTTTTCTTTCTTTTTTTATTTTTTTATTTTTCGTCTGGAGTCTCATCCCGACTTGTGGGGAATCACAGTCTCCATCATCCTTTTCTCACTGGGACAACGCTCTAAAAATGATGATCATCACACTTTTATTTTTCTTACAACTCAACAATTACAACTCAATACTTAGAACAAAATATGACTCTCTATGAATGCCTCCGGCGGTGTACCGGGATATGCAATGACTCATGAGTGACAAGTATGAAAGAATTATGAACGGTGGCTTTGCCACAAATACTATGTCAACTACATGATCATGCTAAGCAATATGACAATGATGGAGTGTGTCATAATAAACGGAATGGTGGAAAGTTGCATGGCAATATATCTCGGAATGGCTATGGAAATGCCATAATAGGTACGTATGGTGGCTGTTTTGAGGAAGGTATATGGTGGGTGTATGATACCGGTGAAAGGTGCGCGGTATTAGAGAGGCTAGCAAAGGTGGAAGGGTGAGAGTGCGTATAATCCATGGACTCAACATTAGTCATAAAGAACTCATATACTTATTGCAAAAATCTACAAGTTATCAAAGCAAAGTATTATGTGGATG